ATCCTTACCTATGAAATGAACAATTTCAAAAATAATTTAATGGTAGTAAAAAATTTAACCTATTAGCAGGAGGGGTGGGCATTGGATAGAATAGGTTGAAATCAAATTAAAATATTGTAATTTGAATAAATTTAATATTTAAAAAAAATTTGAACCAAATCGAATTTTTTATAATATTAAATTGAACTTGTTTGATTCGATTTTGATTTTATTTTTCGATTTTGGGTTGAATTATCAAATTAAAATTTTTAGGAATCAAATTGAATAAATCAATTCGGTATATTTGGTTTTTTTTTTTTTTTTGCTGATTATTGTTTGGCCTAATTAATGAGACAAAGAATTAATATGAACTGAACAATTTTATAATACTCTTGTTTTAAAATTTTCTTTTCATTTTTATTTTTTAAATCATAGTATTATTTTTTTTCTTTAGAGATGTATTAAATAAATTAAATTAACATTATAAATAAATAAGACATTGTACTTTCTTTGAAATTTTTTAAAAAGTATGAAACTAAATATGACAATTCATAGGAATAGTGAGCTGTAGTGGTGTCAAATGAATGAGGGAAAAGTCAAAATCAAGGGGTAAAAAGGCAAATAATTACAAAAGATTCTTAAAGCATCCTACTTTTTTTTGTTTTGATTTTTTAAAGCATCTTAAAGTCTTATACATTTGTATTATCAAAAAGATATATTTTTTCAAACACAATTGCTTTTAAGCTCATTTTAGTATCTAACATACTTTTATATATATAAAAAGGCACTAACTTTATATATATATATATATATATATATTTTTTTTTTTTGCTGATTATTGTTTGGCCTAATTAATGAGACAAAGAATTAATATGAACCCTTGAACATTTTATAATACTCTTGTTTTAAAATTTGTCTTTTCATTTTATTTTTTAAAATCATAGTATTACTTTTTTTTCTTTAGAGACATGTATTAAATAACATTAAGATTAACATATACAATAAATTAAGGACCATGTGCTACTTTCTTTGAAATTTTTTTAAAAAGTATAAATCTAAATATGAACAATCATTAGGAATAGTGAGCTGTAGTGGTTCAAATGAATGAGGAAAAGTCAAATACGCGGGAACTCCAGCCAAGACGCGGTCATTATAGACATCCACAAATAATTACAATAATCGCCTATCTTTCTAGAAGCCGATAGTACTTTCTTTTTTATCGAGTGTTTCATATTTTTTGGTAAAGCATCTAAAAGTCTTATAACATTTTATTAATCAAAAAAGATACTAGTTTTTTCCCAAACACAATTGCGTTTTAAGCTACGATTTTAGTACTCTTAACATACTTTTATATATATAAAAAAAAGGCACTAACTTTTATAATATATATGAAGTACCTATATATAACTAGGAGGTAGATAATACTCCTTGAATCGTAGAGTTTAAATGTTTCTGTCTTCCTATTCAAAAAGCGTTTCTGGAATTGAACTTGTATTTCTCACTTTTCTCTACTGAGATTTTCAAACTCTTTCAAAAATTGCTGATCCAGTATTAATAGCTACTTTATTAAAAGTCATTTTTAAAAAAAATTAAATATTACTTCACTTGAAAGGGAGACATTAGAATTTTAAGTGTGAGTGAATCTCACATTGGAAGTCCACTTGAAAGGGAGACATTAGAATTTTAAGTGTGAGTGAATCTCACATTGGAAGTCCACTTGAAAGGGAGACATTAGAATTTTAAGTGTGAGTGAATCTCACATTGGAAGTCCACTTGAAAGGGAGACATTAGAATTTTAAGTGTGAGTGAATCTCACATTGGAAAGTGTATATATATATATATATATAGTGAAGGTCACTAGGGCTATAAATGAGCCGAATTTTAGTGAGTTTGAGCTCAACTTAATAAGGATATGTTCGAGCTTAAGCTCGTTTCAAGCTAAGAAGGTAGACTTGTTTAAGAATAGCCAAACTTGAACTTGATTGTAGTTTAGCTTGATAACCATAAACAAGTCATGCTCGAACTTAAGCTTAAAATATATTAAATCAAATTGTTTTCATTTTGATGTAATTTTAACTAATGTTAGGTTATTGAGCAAGATCATAATAAAATTGACTTATGTGTTGATTTTCAAGATAATGATCAAACTTAAACCTGAATTCAACTTTATAAACGAGCTTTATAGCTCGGCTTGAGAAACCTATTGTATGAGTTTGAGTGAGCTTTTATCAATATGAAACTTGAGCAACTTTTAAGTGGGTTATCTCATTTGCAATGCTAGTCATAATTCATTATCTTAAGGTTTTGGATAAATTTATAAAGTAAAGCTCACATATATGTTCTTACTTGGCATTTTCAGTTTTTCTATTAATAGTTCAATTGCGATTTTGGGATGAGTATATAGATAGGCCGGTGGAAGGAGACCCCTCATCCTCTTGTTAGCCCCATGAACAAAACTCCCAGTAGTTGATACTTGGATGAGAGGCTTCCGCTTGAGAGGGAATATAACCAAATATGCATAGAGAAATGCTGAATTTCCAAGTGTGAGAAAATCTTGAATTGGAAAAGTATGAATTCTTATTTGACGCATATAGTATTTTTACGATTAACTACAATCTTATAAAAAAAATTGAATTTTTAAGGTTTCATTAGTTTTTAGAAAATAACTTATTTTTGAAAAATATTTTTTAAATACTCTTTCTGTGCTATTTATATAGAGAAAATTTTCTTTTTTGGCAATTTATTTATTTGGAAAAAATTGCTTAAAATGATAACTTTGAGATTAATGTCAAAGCAAAAAGTCCAACATGCCCTTATTTTGGTTTTTAATTTAAATATTGATTTTGGAAAAATTTTAAAAAAGTGACAGACATTATTGTGGTTGGACAATTAATGTTCCAAAACAAAATTTGAATCATGCATTAATAAAATGAGAACTTCTTCACATTATGCATATATATTAAATTTTACCAAGTTGCAAGCATAGGTTGAATTATATACACAATTTTTACCTATGCTTAATAATTAAGTGTGCACATATAGTAAGATTTACACACAACTCTAATAAATCCAAAACAGAGAAAAATTTTCCACCAAATGACAGTACGTTTATATTCATTCTGATTAACTTTACTTTATAGACAGTTTAACGTATTGTAAACACAGAGAATAGTTAATCCATACTTTTAGCAAAAATATGTGGATATTTTACTTGACAATCTCAACTTTCTTTCAAATTTCAAGCCAATTTTTCAATCCAAATTTGATGTTGAAATTTTATTGGGCAGTTGCAATAGTGGAACCATGTTTTTGTTTTGTTGGAAGTGTAAATAAATAAAATTCATCATTTAAGTAACACATCATCTCTCTGATCATTTACCATTCTTTTATTGAAATTTGGGAACTTAAATGTCTTTTCAAGGATAAATTAGAAAAAATCTATAAAATGCCACCTCCTTAATCATAGAGAAATTTTGACTTTATATAAATAGAACGGAGGAAATAACTCGTTTATGTTGTTTTGTTTGTTATAAAGTTAAAAATTAATTCTCTCAAAAAATTAAAAATTAAAAATTTATTTAACCATAAAAATGACTATACTAATTATACATTAAATCAATATTTTTGCATACAAAAATCAAAAATTAAAGATACAATAGATTTCTAATAAAATTTAAGTTGTCACAAGATTTTCTATAAAAAGTATAGAAAGTGATTGTATATATTTAGTAAAAAAATTAATGTATGTAAATATTTTATAATTTAGTTTAACCAAATTATTTTATTTTAAATGCAGAGGGACAAGGAGATCAGATTTAAAAAATATATAATTTAAATCATATTATTCAAAAAAAAAATATGATTTTAATAAATTAAAAATTATAAAAAAAATATTGCTTGGGACTATTGGGTTTTTTCGAATTTAATTTTTGTAAATAAAGGAAGCGTTAATATTTTTGGTCTATTCTTGTTTCTTCCTGTCAACCCTAAGACAAAATTTTCCTTCTCTAAATCCAAACGTGGTGTAACAAAAATAAAATAAAAAACAAAAAGAAAACCTTTTAATAATAAGAAACCATTTTGTCTTGTCTTGTCTTGCTTACACCTTCTCTCTCCCTAACTCCTCTTTGCCTTCTCTGCCTGAAGAAGCAAGCATTATCTATTTTTTCCTGGTTTGTTGAAAAATAATTTGTTACAGAAAATACAAGAGATAAAGAGAGAGAGAGAAAAAAAAAAAAAAAAGGAAACTGGGTTGGATTTTTGGTAACTGGTATCATGGAGAGAGATTTTTTGGGTCTGGGTTCGAAAAGTCTTCCAGCTACAGTGAAAGAGGAGGTTATTGATGCCTTTAAGGATTCGGGTATGTTTTTCTCTTCTTTTTCCTTTTTTTGTTTGAAGTCTTTGTTTTGTCGAATTGTATGTTTGTAACATTGGTTTTGAGCTTTTTGCTTGTTTGTTGGCCGAGAAAGTGCGAGAAAAAAAACACTATTTTTTATTTTGTTAAAATTTCTTGTTTTCGGGTTGCTTTTGTGCTGCTATTGAGTTCAATTACTCTTGAATTCCTTTCAAAGGCTTGAATTTTCTGTATATATTTTTTTGGAATACATGACAATTTCTACGAAGTATTAGAATTGATTTTCATTTTATTTTCTCTTTCCTTTCCTTTTCATGTTTTCTTATCAGCCAAACGTCAAACGTGTTAATGGTAGTCTTTTTCACAAGAAACCTTGCAGAGAAAGGATAGTACTTTTCTTAATTAAAATAAAGGCACATCTTAGCACGAGCTCCAATTTCTTTAATACAAGCCAGCAAGCCAATAAGGATTCATTTATATAAAGAAATATTTGTATCTATGCATGTATTCTTTCTTTCTTTTTTATATGTGTTTGTATGCGTGTATACACTGTGTAGAGTCGAAACTAAAAAATAAAAATAATTAAAAAAAGAAAAGTAAAATAGTCAATTATGGATTGCAGATAGGTATTAAACTCGTGGCTAAGACTTGGCCACACACTTCCTATACCAAGCTAATAAAAAAAAGGACTTACTTAAAAATTGTTGTTGTTTTATCCATATTTTACCCTATTAATGGTCATGAATATTCTTGTTTGAGCAAAAAATTATTTTTTGGTTTGGTGTATGGATAGAGTCCATATAACGGGTGCAAGTAAGTTTTTCCTGATCTTGTTTAATAGTGAGTTTATTGTAGAATTAAATGTAAGACTAATTGAGTGAAAATGTTTAATTATATTCATTACCCTTTTTTTAGAAGGGTATTCATAAGCATTTGAATTTGTAATTATTCAAATATTTTTATTTTATTTTATAATTTTTTAATACTTATTTTTCTAATCTCAAATTGGATTGAAAGAGCTTGATATATAATATTTATTAATATCTCTCTTACCCTCTCTTATTTAAAATTTCAAATAAATGTAGTTGTACCTAACTTTTTATTCTTTTATTTTTTTTTTATTTTTTTTTTAAAGTTTTTAACTTCCGTCTCCATGAATCCTTAAACTCTAGTACAATTTACTATTGATATTAACTCATTAAGGTGTATTATTATTTTCTACGAGTATCTCTATACTAGTTGGGGTATGTTATTTTAGGATTTGTGGCTGCCATAGTTTGTAAGAAAAGAAATGCTAGTATTAAATTTCGACCATATGAACTGTAAGTAGTTGGGAACTAACCAATGAGGCTGGATTTTTTGTTGTTGCGGTTGTGGATTAGTTGGTCAAATAGATTGAAGATTTTGTTATATAGAACATGTTTGTATTCAATATTATATTTTGTAATTGGATTCTCTTTATATATATATATATATATATTGTTTAATTTCCGACTTTTGACTTTTATTAAGTTTGATTGCGTTGGGATAGGATAATGTTTTTGCTAACATGCACATGAGTTGGTCCATTAATAAAATAATGGGTGATGTTGAGTTGGCTTTTTAGAAAAGAAATATTAATCTTCTCAATGGTAGTGCTTGACAGATACAACAATTGCATATGCATATTAAAGTATTTGCCCCGCACCAAAGAAAGGGACACAGTACTATAATATATCTAATATTAAAAGGTACAATGTGATTAAATTATGCTCTTATTACAAGAACTTTTTTTAAAAAATAATTATTTTCTTTTTTCTTTTATGCATTTCAAATGTGCTTATTCTGAAATGGTAGTGCTTGGACAGCTGCAACCAACTTTTAAATGGGAATTAAAAGAAAAAAAAAAAATACACACCAACATCAAGATTTCAAAAAATCCAAGTTTCTGAGTTGGTTTTGTGCTCTTTATCTTCTTTGCTATAGAAAAAAGTAAACAATTTGCATTTGACTCTCAGTCATTAATTAGAGATGTAAGGTTCTATTCTTTGTTGTAACCTGTGTGATTTGTAACTCAGTAACCTATTTGTCATTACAACCTCAAAATATTAGAAGTTTTGTCTATTTCAGCTGTAAAAGTTTGAAACTTTTATAACTTGTGTTGCTTGAAATTGTTTTACAAAATTTTTAATCACAATCATTTATCTGATTTGATGGGTAAAAAGTAAAAAGAAGAAAGAAGGGATTTTCCATGGTAGGAGTGTGAAGACAGGGAAAGAGTTCGTTTTTGTTTTTAAACATATACTAATACGAATCTTGATGAATATGTTAGTATCATATAAATTATTTCTAGTGTAAAAAAGTTCTAAGGTAACTTTCAGCTTTGTCCTTATATACTAAAATATATCAAGATTCTTTTTGGCATATGGTTTAGCCTTATATGAGAGCAATCTAACGATCTGTTCTCTAACAGTTGTCAGTTTCCCATTTGGTTCTTAGTTTGAGGCACTTTAATGTTGCATTAAAATATTTTAAGGATTCGGTCCTTCACTAATGTATTTATTGTGCATGAGCTTATGTGTTATTGTTTATTAGTTTTACATTAATCATGCTAGATCTTAAAATATTAAATATGTATTAAACTATATAATAAAACTTAACTTATATAATAATAATAATAATGCTTGCATAATATAATAAAGCTATTTAATTGGAGATTAGAATCATGGACAGAGGTGATATTCATTTTCCTTTGGGTTTTGCAGTATCAATTAGAGGTTCAGCAATGCAGTGGTCTTTTTCAAACAAGGGTTCTTCCATTCCTCAAATATTGTCATTTAAGGATGGTGTGGAAGAAAAGCCAAGAAAGTCCATTAATGACCCCTTAGCATCATCTGGGTTTACTTCCATTTCTATTGCTGATGCTTTTGATTCCAACCATAAGCCATACTCTAGCATGGTTCAGGTCAGTTATTGCCAAGGAAATGTTATTAATTGATAATTGTTAAATAAGTGAGATTGTTTTTTTATGATTGTTTTTTTCTTTGTAAGTAATTTTTTCCTATTATTTTCCATCTATGAATTGTAGAAAAATGTGAATCTTGATAAACAAGGTGCAAACCATTATGCAATGACAAGCTATGGTGTGAAACAATTTGGTGCGTATTCAGTCCACCAACCCCAGCAGATGAGGATATTCCCAGTCGCCAACCAACAAAATCAAACAATTACTGTTTCTTTGAGCAGTCCTGTTTTGCAGTCCCATTTTGCTTCTACTGGGAAAAATGTTAATAATTCACAATCTCTTGGAGGAGTTCCAATCATAAGCCCTGTATCTGTTCATCCAGCTCCAAGTTCCATCGTTGGGTCAACTGATCTTAGGTATCTGTCTGTGTAGTTACTTTTTTGCTTAATACTATATCCTAAGTGAAATTGCTGAGATGAAATTGATTTTCTTTTCTAGAAATGGCTCTAAATCCTCTGTTGCACCTGCTCAGATGACCATATTCTATGCTGGTTCTGTATGTGTGTATGATGACATTTCTCCAGAGAAGGTATCATTTCTCTGTACTTTTTGGATCTTTTGGTTACAGGTCTTGTGCCTTTGTTTTCGTCTTTTTAATTGTTTACTTTTTCTATACAGGCTCAGGCTATTATGCTGTTGGCTGGAAATGGGTCTTCAGTAACACATAATAAGACGCTCTCCCCAGTGCCGATGCAGGCATCAACAAGGCCTTCTGCTGCTGAACCTTCTGTTGGAAACAAAACCCATAGCACATCTCCATGCTCAGGCCTTCCAAGCCCCATTTCTATGACCTCTACTACCACCAGTGAATTGGCAACATTGAAACCAGCTGTAGCTTTAGCATCTGCAAATAACCAAGCAGAACGCCCCAAGGCAGTTATTTCAGTAGGACCTGGTTCTGCAACTCTTGTTCCAACAGGTCTGACTCTAAGCTTATCTATTACTTGTAAAATACTTATGTTCTTTTTTGAATAAGTATGAGTTGATATATTATGTAGTCTGTAGATAATGTCACTGTAACGAAAGTATTATTGTCTTCACAGTGGCTGTACCTCAGGCTCGTAAAGCATCATTAGCGCGATTTTTGGAGAAGCGCAAAGAAAGGTGCATTGTTGTGTCTTTTTAATTTTGTTCAGAAATTCCACATTATTGCGGAGGAGAATATCTTTTTGTTTTATTTGAAGATAGAACTGGTGAACATTTGTCTCCTTAAAATTTTAAGCATTTTTTTGCTTTATTTATATGCTAATTTTTCCACATTATAAGGGTTCGAGTTGGTAGGTATTTAAGTTATTAGTATCTTTGGGAAATATGTTTTCCTAGAATTGATTCCATTTTAGATCAATCATCGTTCACTGGAAGTATCAAGATTAGATGCCAATGGACTCTAAGAGCTTGTTTGGTATAAATTAGATGCCAGTGGACCCTTAGAGCTTGTTTGGTATAGGATTTATGGAATTAATTTGCAAATCTAAATTTTCACGTTTTGTATAAATGAAAATTCATTTGGAATTTCGCATTTTTAATTCTATGGAAATGGTTATATTTGGACAGAATTCTACTAAAATCAATAAAATTTGCAAATGAACTTCAAACTTAAAAAGAGTACAAGCTATTAGAACTAATGAGTTTGAACTATTCTGAACTTGTTTGCAGAATTTGTTTGTTTATTAATTGTTAGTAATTAAAGTTCATTAGCTGAAAGTTTTCTGTGTGCATTTTCAGGGTGATGAATACGTCGCCGTATAATGTGAGCAAGAAATCAACAGATTCTAGTGCCCACTGAATCTGATGGTGTTAGTTTATCCATCAATTAGCAGTCAAGCGGGGACTTTGAATGAGAAGTTGCTAAAAACTGAAATTGCATGCTCCTCAAAGATGAAGGAAGAGAGATCTTCTAAGATACCTATTTTTTGTTGAAGTAAATTCTTTTTGTTTACAATTGTTAGGCTTCTTCAATTTATTAGATATATGGCATCAATTTTTTTTTTTTATTATATATTTGTACTTCCAGTTTTTTGAAATTCGATGAAACGAAGTATCTTTTGGTTCAAGCTAACAATGCGAATGAATACCTTGTTTCGCATACCTTGTAATTTATGTTAACTTTCAGTATGTTGTAAAAGTATTATTTTTTATGTTGGAATACATTTTTGTTCCATGGTTGTTCTAAATGGAGGTGTTATAAAATCGGTCTATTTCCGGCATCATACCCATAGTTAGCATATTCATCCTAATTAGAAACTCCAGCTTCGTATCAAAGTATCGTCAATCACATCAATATCGTCACTCTGCTTGAAACTGCTGTTTGGTGCATGGGAAATTTGCTTTCATCTAATTATATGGACACTTGAATCAAGCAACATTCCACACATGCATTACTAGTTCCTTTATCGACCAGTAAAATTGCACTTTAATTTTAACTTTTTATCACAATTGTACCCTTATGATAAATATGTACTACAATTACATCCTAAATTCAAATTACGCTAAACTTTTGTTGCAATTGCAATCTAAATTGAAATTTCTCATCTCATTTTGATGTGTTGGAAAATTTCACACATCAAAATGAGTTGTGATAGAAAGTTTTACATTATTTAAATTTTAAGGTGCAATTATGATAGTGAATTTTTCATATGATTCGAATTTAGGTTGAATTTAGATTTTGGAGTGCAGTTCTTGCAACCGACAAAGTTTAGGTTGAAATTAGGATTTGGAGTGCAGTTATTGCAACCAACAAAGTTTATGATATTTTGTATTATTTCTGTCGTTAAGCTAACTCAAATATGAAATACGGGGTCCACATTTAATATGTTTTATACACTAATTTTGACCAATTGCAAATTAGAATGCAATTGTGACAACAAGTTGTAGAGGGTATCTAAGGGGTTAAATTGGATTAGGGGAGTTGTTATTATAAGATGCAAAGTTTGAATTTTCTTTGGATATTGGTGCTTTTTGGAAGTGGAATATATATTTTACAGTCCATTGGCCAAGAAAATACAGAACTTTCTCAAAATTTCAATTGTACTCGAACCATTTAAAATCATAGAGGTTTGTCCTAATTTCAAAAGTTCATTACAGTTATACCAATCTGATTATGATTGAAATGAAATATATAACCTATTTTAATTTTATATCACTCATCCAAATTCAGTTCTAGCATAACTCTTTATCAACTTCTCCCCAGTACAAAAAAATATGATATAATTTTGACCAATTAAGTATAATTGCAATAAAATTTTCAAAAACTGGGCTAAAATTATATTTTTGAAAGTTTGAAATACAATTAACATTAGTTTTTAGAAAGATTTGAGTGTTTCTATCTATTACTTATATTAAATGTTATAAAGGAACAAGCCATTATTTTATCAACCTCCTCCATTCGTTGAGGACTCAAGACCAAAAACTTAATACTTTTCATAGACAGGAGCGAACCTAGGATTTGAATTTAAAGTGAGCAAAAATTGAAAATACAAGTTAAGGGGGATAAAGTGGTGAAGACACGTTATATTTTCTTGAATGGTCAAGATTCATTCTTATTTATAGACATTTTACTAAAGGGTTTTTAATTTGGTTACTTATTTTAAACGGTTTAATCACTTTTGTACCCATATTATTCGGCTTGAACTACAAAAATATCCTCAATTATATGATTTGTCGTCAAATAACTCCAAAATGACCTTTGTACCTCGGACACCTCTGTTTAAAAACTTAGATATATTAGCACATTAATTTAAAAATTAAACTATAAAAATAACTGAAATAATATTTAATATGAGACTCACTGTTTACCTTAGTTTAACTTAATCCAATGAAGCAAAAAACTCACGTTTTGCTCCTGAACGCAAAGAATCCCTAACTTGTGGCCAGAAATCCCATTTACACCTGTTCTCTCTCTCTATCTACTGCGTTTCTTTAAGAAATGGATTGGAAGAAATCTACAACTCACAAGCTCTTGTAAAGCACTAATATTTAAACTAAAAACACCAAAAATTTAGAACAGGACACAAAACATTTTTAAAAAATATATAAATTTATTAACATTCCATAATATAAATAAATTTGGGCTTTAGTTCCATAAATCCTTCGCAGCTTCGCTTGGTAGATTTCTAACTTCTATTTTAAGGTTTATTTTTGAGCTTAACGGTCCCACTGTAACAAGCAGCATCAACTTTACAAAGTAGCTAAAACGTAAGGTGGAAATTTATTGCAGAAAAAGACGTCCATGTCTAATTGTGAAAAAAACTTTGAATTTCCTATTTGTTCAACAAGTCCTCCAATTCTTGCGTTGCAATTTTATAATGATCCAGTAATTATGTCCCTTCCTCCACAATCAGAATGGCAAGTTTATAAAGATGACTACGCCAGTTAATTGGATTATACAGATCAATATTATTGGAACCGTGAACGAGGGATTGCTCCAACGCAGAAAAATATAGCGAGCAGGAATTGCTCCACTTTATTTCTTAATGAAACGCAGTAGATAGACAGAGAACATGCATGATTTGGACTTACTGGGCAATCGGAATCGTTCAAGTTGGCATTCTCTAGGTTGGGGAAAAAGGAACACAGTAGTGAGTTTCTGGCTTCCTTGAGTTAAATTAACCAAAGTTAAAGAAGTGAGTCCCGTATTGAATATTATTTTAGTCTTTTTTATAGTTTAATTTAAAGTAGGGTGCTAATATATCTAAGTTTTCAAACCAGGATGCTTTATATACAAAGGTCATTTTGAAGTGATTTTGCAACAAATCATATTGTTGGGAAATTTTTGTAGTTTAAGCTATATTATTCCTTGCAATGGTTTGTTTTAGCAATATAAGAACCAATGATTGGCAATGAGACTCCAACGCCACAACCTTAAAACCTAACTTTAAAGCTTTAGAAATAGCAATAGAGCTGTCTCTCCGTCAGCTTCATCTGGCATCAAAGAATAAGGAAAAAGGGAAACTTCACTAGCCATAACATCACTATGAGAATTTTGTAAATAATATTTAATATAGCATAAATCTATTGTTCATAGAATTTGTTTGACAGAAATATACAATAATCGAAAGCGTACCTTGATCCATAACAGCAGATCTATGTTATGGATTACCTCGTTGCGGCAATTCGATTCTCACCGTAATAGCATCTTTCACGCTCTCTCAACCAACCTTTCCACCGTATGGTGTTTGAGGTAGCCGTCACACTCTCTTCTTGTCTTTCTTTCTGTGTTACCCTAAGCTGTTGATTCCTTTTTCTTTTATAAGGCAGTAGGAGGGGTCATTAAACCTAACTGGTCCTTATTCCATTAAGCGAAGTAAATATCTTGGGCCACTTTAATTAGAAGCCAGCCCCTTTAATCATGGGACACTCAGATTATTAAAAATAATCTAACCAATCTCCCACGTTGGCCCATGTGCATTTCTGGAATATACGATGTTTTACCTTAATTAGAATGTAACAGATACCAGATTATGGCGGTCAACAGTCATTAATCGACATGTTCTTTATATATCCAGACACCTCATTCTTTAAAATAATGGAGAAACAAACTCAAAAAGCAATACATTGTACAGTTATCTCACTCAAACCATTATTGTATACATCTATAATGTGGATAACACATAAATAAGCAAAAACACATCTTTAATTGAATTCCCAAGTATCACAATAGTATGAGCAAAATAACCATATGTATATATATACACAAGTTTAAACATCATGCTAATAAGGACTTATCTATAATTCCGATTCTATCTACATGGTTATTGAAGATTTTGGGTGCTAAGCCTTTAGTTAGCGGATCCGCTATCATCAGATCAGTACCGATATGCTCAATTGACGCTTTGTGTTTATGCACTCTTCTTCTTTCACAGATGATACTTTAAAACCATGTGCTTTGCACCCTTAGAGTACCTGCATTCTTAAGAAGAAGATGAGCTGCGAATTATCACAGTAAATTCTCAACGGTCTAGCTATACTGTCGACAATGCCTAGACCTGAGACAAAGTTCCGCAACCACAATGCATGAACAGTAGCCTCAAAACATGCCACAAATTCAGCCACCATTGTGGAAGTAGCAATGACAGACTGCTTTCAACTTTTCCATGATACTGCTCCTCCAGCTAGGAGAAACAAGTAGTCAAATATAGACTTTCTCGAATCTACACAACCGGCATAGTCTGAATCCGAGTATCCCACCACTTCTAGATGGCTGGACTTTCTATAAGTGAGTTTATGATCTTTAGTGCCTTGTAAATACCTAAGTACTTTCTTTGCAGCTTTCCAATGGTCCATCCCGGGATTACTTTGATATCGCCCTAACATTCCTACAAACTAGATATTCTGGTTTGGTACAGTTTGACATACAATTAAGCTGCCAACCACTGAGCACTGGATAGACTCATCTCGTTTACTTCCAAATCTTTTTAGGACATTGTGCATTTCGTTGATACCTATTCCTTTTTCTAAATTTGGAACTATTTCTGAGAATTGTCATCTGATTCTCTGTACTGTTAATGTTAGGCTCTTGAGGCATCCTAACGTCTTGTGATTATCACGGATTTCTTTCATCCAAGGATGGCATCCATTATTTCATTTTAAAGTTCTTAAAGAGAAAACCCTTTACATCATGCAACAACCCAACATCATTCGCAGCAAGAAGAATGTCATCAATATATAGGACTAACATGATGAACTTGCTCCCACTGGCCTTCATATAAATACACCAATCAACAGTGTTTTCTATAAAACCATATGAAGTGATAGTATTATTGAACTTAAGATACCATTGACGGGAGGCTTGTTTCAGTCCATATATTGATTTCTTTAACTTACACACCAAATTTTCCTTTCCTGTGACCATAAACCCCTCTGGCTAGTCCATATATACTTCCTCCTCTAAGTCAAGAAAAGGCTATTCTTTACATCCATTTTGGTGACGCTTCTAGAGGTCAAAAATGAGCACCAAAGCCAAATAAAATTCTTAAAGAGTCCTTTTTGGGAAACTAGAGGAAAAAAAAAAAAGGTTTTTTCCCTTCTTTTTTTATTAATCAATGTCATAACTTCTGAGCATGCTAACCTTTCAGCAACAGGTCTTGGCCTACTATATCTTTCAACGTTGCCCTAGATTCCCGTTTGTTCATTTTTGAAAACCCATTTACACCAACTTATTTTTGACCCCTCAGGC